TTTAGCAATTCATTGAATTTAATCTAGGTTTATTGTGTCATGCTCTAAAAGGTTTGAGAATCAAGCTCAAATTTAAATCTGAGCCGAAGATTTTAGCTTTGCTTTTAATAGTTTGAATTATTTCCATTCTTGGAATATTTTTTTTTTGGCATTTTTAATGTAATTAGTGCTCATTACTGTCCTTAAAGTCTACCCTTTAATCTTCCTTCACTCTATTTCACATAAACGTTCATTCTCTGAGTTGCTCTGAGTAAGATTCGATGAGATTATTTAAAAATTTCATCTTAGAGCGATCCTTGTTATTGACTCATTGTCAACATGTTTTTATTTAATTTTATAAACAAACTCATCATTCGGCCTTAATTACAAAGTAAAGTTTGACACATCCAAACATTTGTTTAGAACATTGATAGTAAAATAAATTTCTAGAACTTTGTTTACAGTGCCAATAGACGACATCTCAATTGATTATTATTGAATCAAAAGAAAAAAAATTATCAACATTGATTTTGCCTCATTCATAGTTTATTTTTAGACACACATTAGCAACGTCACAGACTCTGTAATCAAAAAGTGAACTTTTTTTCTTTAATTTCGCTGACATCTTCTTGTCTTGTTTTTGATATGATGAGAATGTTGGTTGAAAGCGGTTTTTGTTCCTGCATACAATTAAAGATGATAATATAGAGTAACAATGAAAATTGATAATAATGTCGAGCTTGAGGTGACTCAAAAATGTCATGAAATTAAATAATGCGTAGTAAGTGAGGTGCTATGCTTTGAGAAATGAGCTATTATTCAATTTTCAAGGTCAGGTTTTCCATAATAATGAATAATAGGTCTTAATTTCTTGATAATCAATTAAGCTTGCAGATCCTCAGAAAATCACCTCAAAATCACGACACTTTTACTAAAAATACAAGCATTTTTATTCTTAATTCTGACGAAACATTTTTTCTGCTTATTGACTCGCACTTATCAATTTATATTCACAGCTTCCTTATCAGAGTTCAAACTTGTTGTATTTTAGAACTTTTGAACCATCTAAATAGGTTTTGAGTGAAGTGGCGTACGACTGATTTCAAGTTTTTAGAATTAAGGTCTCATTTTCAATTTCGTTTCCGTAAAGATCTTAAAATTGACTTTTCTGGAATTTTTACACATCCAAAAATCAATTCAAGCATAAAAATCGCATCAAAAACAAATCAAATTATCAATGACTGATTACATTACAATCCACACTTTTACTTGTTGCTTTACTTGAGATTTTTTTCATGCTCTGTTGATCCTCTCACATTGTCATAAATCACCAAACCATGAACACTTACAAGCATGTTGCTTGCTACAAATTTGATTGAGGGGTGTGTAAAGGCATAAGGTACTGCGGTGTGTTGAGTAAATTTTATGGTATTTAGGTATGCATTCAATTTATAGTTAAAATATATCATATGGATCGTGTTAAACATGCCTCAACCTATGCAGTAATGATATTTTTATAGTCGCACACGAGCATTTTATTGGTTCGTTAAGCACTTAATAAACCATAAGCCACATATTTGTGTACGTGAATATTTAACACTTTTTTTTTCTTCCATCCAATGAAATCGTTGGCTGGAAAACAATTTTTATATTCACACCGTTTTCACGTGTGAATCTATTGGTTTTGTTCAGATTGAAAAATCAGTTTTTCGCATTTTGTGAGAAAACAAAGCAAAATTGGTTATAAAAGGGCGAGAAGAAAAGTTTGTGCCTGAAATTTTACATCATTTTCAAAAAACAGATTTCAAATTGGTTGTGGCATTGCTGAGAAAATCGCAAAATACGCTTTCTGTAAGCAAACAAGCAAGCAAGCAAGCAAGCAAGTTAATCAGCAAGAAATCTCAATAACGAGACATCGTAGAGACTTCTAGTTTTTTACATTTGATCCGTGCTACTCTATAGAAGAGCTGTATTGTTTTTGGGCAAGGTAGGAACAGCCGTTGCTTCAGAAATGGCAAAAAACTTTCCTTTCTTACGAATTTTTTAAAACAAAAGTTGACTGTGATTTTTATAAAATTCAACTTTGGATGAAAATTTTTTTTAAAAAACTTTTAAAGAATATTTGGCATATTCGTCAAGCTTTATACCTTCAAACTTATGCTGAGCGTAGCTCAGCTGACTCGATAGCTTTATATCTTCAAACTTATGCTGAGCGTAGCTCAGCTTACGCGATAGCTTTATAACTTCAACTTATGCTGAGCGAAGCTCCACTGCCTCTCTAGCTTTATATCTTCAAACTTATGCTGAGCGTAGCTCAGCTTACGCGATAGTTTTATAACTTCAAACTTATGCTGAGCGTAGCTCAGCTGACACTCTAGCTTTATATCTTCAAACTTATGCTGAGCGTAGCTCAGCTGCCTCTCTAGCTTCATATCTTCAAACTTATGCTGAGCGTAGCTCAGCTGACTCGATAGCTTTATATCTTCAAACTTATGCTGAGCGTAGCTCAGCTTACGCGATAGCTTTATAACTTCAAACTTATGCTGAGCGAAGCTCAGCTGCCTCTCTAGCTTCATATCTTCAAACTTATGCTGAGCGTAGCTCAGCTTACGCGATAGTTTTATAACTTCAAACTTATGCTGAGCGTAGCTCAGCTGACACTCTAGCTTTATATCTTCAAACTAATGCTGAGCGTAGCTCAGCTTACGCGATAGCTTTATAACTTCAAACTTATGCTGAGCGAAGCTCAGCTGCCTCTCTAGCATCATATCTTCAAACTTATGCTGAGCGTAGCTCAGCTTACGCGATAGCTTTATAACTTCAAACTTATGCTGAGCGAAGCTTAGTTGACTTATCAAGCTTCATACCTCCATACTACTGATGGGCAAATCTTGGTCTATCCATAAGACTTATGATAGTACGGTGTGAATATAATCCGCATTGGGTTTCTACCCGATACACTAGTTTTTTAATAATTTAATTTTCTTACGTGTTAAGTGCTGTGTGTGACTTTCGTCTTCCATGACTGAATGCACATATCTAGAGTGTGTTAATAAGCCATCAAAGCAATAAAATAATAAAGTACGCATAGCAGTTTCTTGCTTGATCATCAAACGCTGATGAAATGTACAATTATGAAACGAGTTTTCCCCTTATTCGTGTTATGATTTTTCTAGTTGATAAGGAGATGGTGATTGTGATGGTTTTGATCGGTTTGACTGACTGGGATAGTTTGAAAAAATATGAATCACTTCTGTTTTGAGATTCCTACTAGTCAAATTCTAGTAGCTATTCGGGATGGATTTGATTTGAGCTTTAAGGGTAGTCTGAATGGTTCTTCACAAGGTGGAGAAAAGTCACAAAATTATAACATTGACCAGACCGGCATGAAACTAGCGCATAGACAGATTCAATTAAATCTAGCCCGTGCTAGACTCACGCCTGACGCAAAGTTTGCTGGTTTTTGTTATCCTTAATTTGAAGAATGTTTTTTAATGTCCATGTCACCTTTGAAAATGCGCTATTATTGCCACATAAACTTTATTCATTACAAAAATCATCACCGCAATTTCAGATTCAATATTACCTATTTTTTTGTTCATTCATAAGAGATCAATAAAAAAAACGTAAGCATAAAACAAGAGAAGAGAAAATTATCCAATGGTCTTTTATAGACTCATTGATCATCGGGTCGATCGGAATGTCAAAACGAATTGTTAAACATTTATTGTGCGAATGGTGTAGAGAATAAGCAAAGGCAAGAAAAGAAATGATATATTTCATTATACGTATGATGATGACGACGAATAAAGTACATAAGTAGATGGACATTTGCGCAGAATGAAGCAAAACCTATTATTCCACTTCATGCACAACAATTCTGCAACTAAATGTGTTTATTGACACGACATTTCTTACATTCTCCCTGTTGATCAATCATCAACAATATATTTATTGAATGTTTTTTTTTTCCTGCTGCCTTCCATTTCATCTCTCGTCACAGCCCGTTTAATGAGATTCTACTCACATGCTGTAAAATTTATCTCATTTTACACTGGTGACTCTGTGAAAAAATATGTCTGGCATGCAATCACAAAACTAAACAATGCACACGGAGCTTTACTTTTATAATTAATTAATTTTATTCCTGATGACTTAAGTGATACATTGTTGATTGATTTGTTATGAAATGTTTTTACCTTTTTGCAATATATAGAAAAAAATATTTTTATTATTGTATTTACAATTTATCAAACATGTGTATGTACAAAGTGAATATGTGCGAGATATGAGCTGTATAAATGTGGAAACATGATGAGAAGTTATGAAATGGATTTTTTTTTGCTGAAGCTTTAAATGGAAAACGTGACATTTTTTATGATTTATTTACAATTGTTTTAACAGCTTTCAAGTTTTCCATAATTTTCTTTATTTGTAACGTTTTGTTGCTCACAAAGTTCATTGACGTTGAATTTTTTGAAAGTTGGGTAAATTTTTCATGGATTTCTCACATAGAGTTTTTAAATATCGAGGAATAATATTTAGAAGCTCAAATTTATCCACATTTAACTTATTGCAGCTCCTTTTTTGTGAGCAAATATGAATTTAATGTATTTACAGCTTTTTAAGGTTTAAAAAATGAGCTTGTAAACGAATCTCAATAATTTGACGGATTAAAATGTTCTTCCTAGATCTTTTTGTTGATACTTTAAAGCTAATTTAAAATTTGAATCAAACTTCAAATTTTAAAAATTTGAAAATTTAAAAAAAAATTTGGCAAATATGTTTTTAAATTTATAATTTTTTTAAAATATTTTTGAACGTTTCTCCAGGAAATTTTTCATTCAAAATTACTAATCTTTATCTATAATATTATCATTCACAAATAAATCCAGATTTCATCCCATCACTATAGGGAAAAATTCAAAAAAAGGGGACTTTTACTTCAAAAAGTGAATGTCTCGAATTATGATTTCTAAGCTATTTAGATTCTAACCTTCAAATGATTCAGTTTTGGAGCAGAAAATTTCAAATTTTGGAGTCAAATCAAACTTTAATAATTATTGCAAAGGTTGCAGTAATATTCAATTTAGATTCTAAGCTTCAAATGGTTAAGTTTTGGTGCAGAAAAGTTCAAATTTTGTGGTCAAATAAAACTTTAATAATTATTGCAAAGGTTGCAGTAATGTTCAATTTAGATTCTAAGCTTCAAATGGTTAAGTTTTGGAGCAGAAAAGTTCAAATTTTGTGGTCAAATGAAACTTTAATAATTATTGCAAAGGTTGCAGTAATATTCAATTTAGATTCTAAGCTTCAATGGTTAAGTTTTGAAGCAGAAAGTTCAAATTTTGTCGTCGAATGAAACTTTAATAATTATTGCGAAGGTTGCAGTAATATTCAATTTAGATTCTAAGCTTCAAATGGTTAAGTTTTGAAGCAGAAAGTTCAAATTTTGTGGTCAAATGAAACTTTAATAATTATTGCAAAGGTTGCAGTAATATTCAATTTAGATTCTAAGCTTCAAATGGTTAAGTTTTGAAGCAGAAAGTTCAAATTTTGTAGTCGAATGAAACTTTAATAATTATTGCAAAGGTTGCAGTAATATTCAATTTAGATTCTAAGCTTCAAATGGTTAAGTTTTGAAGCAGAAAGTTCAAATTTTGTAGTCGAATGAAACTTTAATAATTATTGCAAAGGTTGCAGTAATATTCAATTTAGATTCTAACCTCCAAGTGGTTAAGTTTTGAAGCAGAAAGTTCAAATTTTGTAGTCGAATGAAACTTTAATAATTATTGCGAAGGTTGCAGTAATATTCAATTTAGATTCTAAGCTTCAAATGGTTAAGTTTTGAAGCAGAAAGTTCAAATTTTGTGGTCAAATGAAAATTTAATAATTATTGCAAAGGTTGCAGTAATATTCAATTTAGATTCTAACCTCCAAGTGGTTAAGTTTTGAAGCAGAAAGTTCAAATTTTGTAGTCGAATGAAACTTTAATAATTATTGCAAAGGTTGCAGTAATATTCAATTTAGATTCTAACCTCCAAGTGGTTAAGTTTTGAAGCAGAAAGTTCAAATTTTGTAGTCGAATGAAACTTTAATAATTATTGCGAAGGTTGCAGTAATATTCAATTTAGATTCTAAGCTTCAAATGGTTAAGTTTTGAAGCAGAAAGTTCAAATTTTGTGGTCAAATGAAAATTTAATAATTATTGCAAAGGTTGCAGTAATATTCAATTTAGATTCTAACCTCCAAGTGGTTAAGTTTTGAAGCAGAAAGTTCAAATTTTGTAGTCGAATGAAACTTTAATAATTATTGCGAAGGTTGCAGTAATATTCAATTTAGATTTTAAGCTTCAAATGGTTAAGTTTTGGAGCTATAAATTTCAATAATAATTGCAAAGGTTGCAAGCGACAGAATCACAAGAGCAGCACCAAAAGACCTAAAACTAGGCTTCAAGTCTGTGTTGATATCCCTAATTAGATAAATCATTAATCATAATTCGAGACATTCAATTTTTGAAGTAAAAGTCCCCTTTTTTTTAATTTTTCCCCATAGTGATGATTTACAATGCAGACCTCAAGAACATCCCCTTAATAATTAAATATTTACAATGATTCCTTATGCAATTTCAACTTGCTCTGATGAATCATTTGACATTTCCTCCTCTGAATTTGACGCCGTAATGTCTTCATTAATTTTTGCTAAAAATTTATTAGAAAATTTCTTATGTCTAGTTGAAATTGTCACATCCTCATTCTCCTGGTCATCGCTAGGCATTGGATTCTCTAAACATTTTTGGCACAATCCCTGCTTCAACTCGGCTGTTGACGCTAAATAAACTTTATTGCATCGGACGCATTCTTCCGTTGGTTCACCTTTAAAGAGACACAAATAAAAATAAAATTAAATACATAAATAAATTGTGAGTGATTGAAGCTAAAAAGGTCGAGATCAACGAGAAAAAAAAGAAAGAAGTAAAGGAGAAATATATGATACAGTCAAATTTCTTTCCTGCAAGTTGAAGCGGAGAGAGCAAAACACATCAAGAAAAATTTAAAATTCAATCAATCTTGAAATGTGATTCAATATTTCTTTTCATGTCGACAACAATAATACACAACAAAAAAATGTTTACAAGAGTTGAGTGTGGTTTGGTAACTAAGGCGCACTTCTTATGTTTTTTTGTGATCAAGAGTACGAGGGCAGCTTTAGTCATGCTTCAACTAGAAATGCTAGGATGCTTCAACTCTACACATCTTAAAATTTTCAACAATGAACTAAATTCAGATCTAACCTAGATCCAGGGAAATTCTCAAGAAGAAGCAATGAAGACTGCCTTATTAAAATGAAATTAAAATTTCACCTTCAAGAAAATCTGCAAAAACAATTTCTTTAAAATTCAGCTTACAAAACTCAACAACATAACATGAAATTCAATATTTTTGCTGATTTCGGCGAGAAGATGAAGAGCAAAAAGGAAATTGAGAACATGTCATTTGATGATCAAAAAGAGAAAAGAAACGAAAAGAAAATTTACTAATGTGTAATAATAAAGTTCAAGATTTTTTAACATTTTTGGTGTAAAATGGCACTTATGGCTTGCAGAAAGAATTTCTCAAATTGGATATTGTAGAAAGTTCAAGTGTCTTCTTGTTTCTTACCTTCATGAGTCTTCATGTGTGCTCTCAAGTTGCAGGCGAGGGCAAAACGTTTACTACAGATCTCACAATTGTGAGGCTTGTCACCTGCAAATAGAAATAAAGAAAAAGTGTTCATAAGTTTATTTTGCAGGCACTTTAAAGCTGATTAAAATTATTAGCAATTTGATAGTAATGTGATTGAGCAGAAAAATAAGTGTTATGGCTACTTTACAAAAAAATTGCTAGCTGCCATTTACTTACTGAAAAGTTTGAAGCTGTTAAGTTGGTAATGATATGAGCTATTTTATGAAATGAAAGGATCAATCAACTCTTTAACTTGATTGTTATTTTTTTTTCCATCTGTCAATTTGTCTAAATATTCAGAAGCGATATGAAATTTTTCCAATTATTTCAACGTTTTTTTTTGAGCTTTCGATTTTGAATTGTGAAAACAAATATGTCAGCAAATTGGAGCGATTTATTATGGTCAATTGTGATATGAGTTTTGCTTTCGACAATATTTGAATTTTGAGATATTTTTTATTGTGTGTTTTAAGTAATGGAGATTCATTTTAGGCGATCAACGTATAGCATGCATTTGACGTGATGGAATAATGCGACTGAAGTGTAATTATTGATGACTGCATACTAAGAGTTATTATTTGGAGTTTGAGTTTATTTTTATCTTCAAATTCTTAGTGAATCACGATAAAGTTCATTCACTAATCGTCGGTAATGACGCCAGCCTCATGCTCTGTGTAACTTTGGTCATGGCTTACCGCTAAAGTGTGCCGTGGCTCAAAAACTTTGGACAACACTGACTTATGACGTCCAAAATTAACGGTCATTTTTAGATTTCCAGGAATTTCTATTGTTCTTTTCTTGCTGACCTACCTCCCTGGATGTAATAAGTGAACCGTTCCTTAGGAGCTTCACTCATAAACACACATATCATCTGAGACCTGAAACCTCATATAATCGATTTCATTCTGCACGAATCTTTCTTATTTCCAACTGGAATACCAATCAAACACACATTGACATATGAATTGAGGATTGAAATTTATCAATTTCCTTATTCCATTAATTATACCAGATTAAGATATTATGTGACTAAAAGCATTTTAATTCTCATGTTCGATTAATGAATTTATTCAAATTGATTATCAAGCGACACAATCATATTTAGATTTAAAGCTTATAATGGCATCTCATCAGAAAAGAGTAATTTGCAGATTGAATGCAAAAAATTAACAATATGATGATGAATAAGTTGTAAAAAATTGCGAAATATCAATGGGCAAAAAAATGTCATATCCAAGTCACAACAAAATGTTTGCATTGTAAAGTTATATAATCCATCAAATCCAAAAAGATTGTCAATCAAAAGATTTTAGTTTCTGCTTGATTGAACAAAAAATAATTTGAGTAAGAAAGAGTTGATCGATGTTTTTGTTTTGGAGTTAAGTTGGGACATATTACTATGAACAACAAGCTAGCTCTGGCATTATGGATCTTAATTTCAAAATCCTGAATAGTTTTAAGAAAATCGTTCTCAAATGGTGTGCTATGGCACATTTAGGTATCTTATAAGAGTGGACTCTGGCATGGTGCTGGATTTAAATGGAAACCAGCACCATGCCAGGGTCATGTCAGCTTAACGCCAGATTTCTTTTCGATTAACCGACTTGTGCTATTCGGGTAAGATGTGCAGTGAAATCTTCAACAAATATTATTTCCAAAAAACTAAGAAATTCCATCCAATATGCGCTTAAAGTCATCTTAAGCACATCAGTTCCAAAACTATTGATTAAACCACTCCATAACAATCGAAAATAAAGTAATGTCACACATTTCAAATGCAATATTTTTTTCTTTACAATTTCCATGAACGGTACTCAAGCATCAAAGACATTTTATACAGCAATGAGAGAGGAGGAAAGATACCCGAAGTGTAAAAAAGGTGCCGTAAAAGTTTGATTATCAATTATTTAATTATGATGAGCACTAATGGACGAATGATTTTGTATAAAAAGATTTTTTTTTCTTCATTTTATTGTCAATCGAGCAACATGGGAAACAAAGTTGCGTACGCACACAAAATATTAAGTTATGCAATAAAATCCAATAAAAAACAATCACGATATTAGTTTTTTACAGCATGTTGGACAAATAGGTGTTACTTTTCACACGAGCTTGTGTGAATTGATTGATTTATTGAGAAGTCATGGGAAAAAAATGAGACTGTAAACTTGGCACTGCTTTTTCATGAACTTGCAATGTTGTTCTATGCGTAAATACTGGTGACAAAGAGTAGAGCTTTTTGTGACAGATTTCTTAATTAGCGTAAAAAAAGGAGTTTTCAACATCATAGCTGTCTTGACAAGTCGACTCGATTGACTGAATATAAAACATAAGTAAATGAAAGTGCAGCCAAGTAGAAAAAAATTTTCTTTATGGCAAACGCAATGAATTGGAAATGGTTTGTTCATTATCAGCTCTATAAATGGTGATTGATATTGATCTGTCATCAGATAGTGCTGGGGGGATTTTTTTTGAGTTATTTATTAACTCGACTGTTTGAAAGTAGATTGTGATTTGGACGTGGTTTGCTGTTGCTGAAATTTTGGAAATCTGGAAAGTTTTGATTTTTTATTCAATTTGCATAGTTGATAGTTGAAAGGAGCCTTAAGTGTCCTATACATAGAGATGAAAATCATACTGAATATAAGGAATAAACTGACGCATACAAATTCAATCGACAAAAGTTATTCAACCATCCCTAATCTTGTCATTAGTCCTTAGACTTCACAAACAAAAAGCATTGTGAATTTCCGTAAATTAAACAAACCTGAAAGTTTCAATAGTTCCTACTAGGAAGTTAAAAATTACATTGACTGCCTTGAATATTTCATGTCACATGTTAACATTTCTTGGAGCTTAAAGTTGAAGATTAGAAAGTTTTTTGTGACAAAATTTGATTTTGTGTTTCTGGATTGTTAAGCTGGAGCTTTAATTGATAATGTCTTTGGAAAATACAATTCATTCTTGACTGTTGACCTTATTTAATGATTTATTATAGATTAAATTAAATTAAATTCTAGGAATGACTACAGAAGGTGTAACTGAAGTTAACAGGCGTGCTGTCGCTTAATGATTTGAAATTTTTACCATAATTTCGTAATAATATTGTCGAATTTCGTCAAGCTTTCCTTGACAAGCTACAGCAATTTCAGTCACACTTACAGAATAGCCAATGAGAGGTGAAAGACCAGAACTACAGCAATAGCCATGTGATTCAAAACGTGCATAATAATATATGAAATTAATACAAATCCTATCTAAATTCTACGTTTCAAGAAGAACAAAAGTAATATTAAGCCATTTATAAAATTCTACTCGCCACTCAATCTAAAATCAAGTATGAAATTTAAACAGTTTGAATTTTAATTGACCTTACTGAATGTTTCTTATTTGTGATTATGTTTCTCCAGCAAAAACAGTCTAGAATCTCAAATTAAAATCGTTCTCCTCAAAATTAACCGAATCAGATTGAAATTTTTCATATTCGTTCAATATTCTCAAGTCGAGAAAGACAAAAGAAGCGTAAATAAAGACAGAAAATTCTTTCTAAGATTAAATTCAACAGAATCTACCACGTTCCATAACGTCAGCTTCATCATACACATTAAATCTGAAATCTATGGCCCAGGCCAATAGATGAAATGAAAGTCGAAAGGAGAACAACAAAAAAATAAATAAATAAAGCGAAAAACATACAATCATTCATGACAATTATAAAATTTTACGTTTCATTTGTTATACATATTGAGATGCTTTAATAATTCTCATCTCCCGCTTTTCTCCTTTCAACTTCTATTTCATTCAAAAAAGAATAGGAGAAAAAAAAATTGTAATTACCTTTAAAGATTAGGCTTTTATATGAAATTACTTAGAAAGAAACTGCTACTCTCTGTTGATGTTGATGCCTCACGTCTTCTTCGTTTTTACGACTTTAATTAAACATTTTGAGACGGAGGGATATTCAATGCGTATTATAGCACACACAGAGTAAGTGGAATGAAAAAAAAAGATGGGGAGGGACAAAAAGATTTAAACGCCAGGGCATTGCAAAGTAGTTGAAATGAATGAGATGAGAAAAAAGCTCTTAAACGTGATGCTATATGACACAACAGAAGTTGAAAACATATAATAGAATGCTTTAGATCATACCGATCGTGGTAAATGAAATGGGTTTTGTGAGGTCATGAGTTCTTGAGGGAACAAGAATGAAACGCATTTTTTGAACTTTTTGGTTAATATGTTTTATTATCTAAAATATTGCCTGTAGTGTTTAGTTTCAGAAGAAACAAATGGCAGGATTTAATTCAAATCGCAATTTAGATGTTAAAATTCTAATCAAAGCATTGCTTAAGACGCTAAACTTTCAACCAAAGCCACGCTTTAGACGCTCAACTTTCAATCAAAGCAACGCTTTAGACGCACAACTTTTATTAAATCACACTTTAGACTCTCAACTTTTAATCAAAGCTACGCGTTAGATGCTAAGCTTTCAATCAAAGCTGCGCTTTAAACTTTCAACTTTCAAACTCTTGGCTCAATCAAAGTTTCACTTAAGACAAACAGCAATCCTCATAACACTCAATAACACAAAGAACACTGCGCTAAAAAGGTCAATCAACGAAAAACTAAATACGAGAGAGATAGAAAAAGAGCAAAAATCCATTATTGGACTTTATCTCTCGACATTTTTTTTATTTTATTTCGGGTGCTATTGTGCTTATTATTTTCTTTAAGACGAATTAGAAATTTTTTAATTTCAAAAGAAGCCTATGTTATAAATTTATCAAGTAGCTAATTTTTGATCTTTTAAACATTAAGCGAAAGCAATATACACAATAATACAACGACAATGAAATGGCGTTTTTCGATGGTTCGGTAATCGACAACTAGCTTTGTTTGAATCATCATGAATTTACTCTTTTTCTTGCCTCTCTTTTCAAATAATCGCTTCATCGACACATTTTCAGAATGAATTATGAATCCAATTCTTTCTTTTCTCCTTTACCGATCGGTGTGCACTT